CCTCTCCCTCTCCCTCTCCCTCTCCCCTCTTTAATTTTTACTTTATTTTGAGCACCCATTCCCTTTGCATTACATTTTCCTACCGAGGGCCCCCTCAGCTCTATTTGCTGCTGGATATTGGCAAGATCAGGGTTTTTTGGGGGGTTTTTTTTGACCCTTTTCATTTAGTTATTTATTTTGGAGGGATTTATTAGCAGAGAGAAGAACCTGACTGACAGCCTGAGAGGTCTCTGTCTCACTCCATCCTCTCTTTAAACCAAGGAATTGGATTTGGACACTCAGGCCATTTGAAGAAGGGATATTTCTGGATATTTCTAATTCCTAATTCCTTTTTCATCCCACATCCACTTCCAGGATCCAAGCTATCCTGTGGCAATAACTGCTTCCCATCTGCTGTCCATGGATGTGTGTCATTAATTTACAAATTACAAACCATCATGTCCACCCTCACCATCCCTTTTCCAAAGGAAGGAATCCTGTCTCAGAATCCCAGAATTGTTTGTGTTGGGATGGACCTTAAAAATCACTTCATTCCACCCCCCTGCCAAGGTCAAGAACAACTTCCACTATCCCAGGGTGCTCCAAGCCCTGTCCAGCCTGGCCTGGGATGTTTCCAGGGATGCATATCCTGGCCTATTTGAACAGGAGGTTTTTCCAGACCTCTCAATTCCCTCCTTCCCTTCACCATTTCCAGGTTTGTTCTCTCCTTTTTAGGAACACGTGGCCAAAGAGAACCTGACTATTTCAGTAGCAGCTCCTCCAGGGTTGTTATTACACTCAGAACACCACCATGCACGTGGAATAATGATATTTTCCTTTATTCACAATTCCTTTCCACCCCTGCCACTCTCAAAGGTTCAGCAGCCCCTCCCTGGGTGCTGCTGCCTTCTCCTGAGTGCACAACAGCATCAAATTCAGCACCTGCTGATCCAAATATTCACAATTAGCATTAGCTTTGGCTGCCCTGGGTAACGAAGGATTGCCACCAAACTGTCCCCAACCTCCTCACACTTGTTCCAGATCTTCTTGGAGTACAGTGACAATTGTGGGACCTAATAAACTTTGTCCAGTGTCAGAAATTACTTTAGTCATACCTTTTTTTTTGCTTCTTCTCTGTTTATTCCACCTGTCATCAAACCTTTATTCCACCTTTTACCTTATCCCTTGACAGCTTAGAGGGAGGGGAACTTTCTCAGGAAAAACTACTGAATATAGAAACAAGACCATATTTTATTTATTATTTAATAAATAATATTCTATATAATAAATATATAATAATATAATAACCATTATATAAATCATAATTAATAAATAATTATTATTAATAACATAGTAATAATATAATAATATTCATTATTATTCAATAAAATAAATAATTATAAATGAAGAAATAATATTTTATTCAATAAAATAAATATTATTCAATAAAATAAATACAATATTCAAGAAGATAAAAAATATATGTTTATATATATAAAATAATATATTTTACATATATTTATATATATAAAATAATATATTTTACTTATTATTTGAATTGTTAATTAATTTAAGTTAAAATTTAATATTTTATTTATTATTACATATTTTATTTATTTATTTAAATATTTTAAATAAAATGGTGCTTGTGTCAATGTATTCCTGAAAATACCACTAGCAACACAGGAAAATTAAAAAAAAAAATAAAATCATGGGCAGTGAACAGGCACAACTCAGAATTAGTTTCTATCTTTTAATAATTTAAGTAAATAAGAAAAACAATACAAAAACCTTAATTGCATTAGGTTAGAAATATCTAACAGAGCTTAAAAATATCCCAAACCCTAGGTTTCTTCAAGAGGTAATATCTGATGGAGGGATATAGTACCAAAATAATTGAACAAGGACTTTGAAATATCTTCAAATGAAATTGGAATCTCTCAGCCAAGTGCAGAACAAAAGGAGGAAAAGGCTCCCAGCTCTGCAGCTCATTCTGAGACAGCTTGAAAGAGGAGCTGGGTGAACCTCTTGCTTTGAGAGTCTCAGATCAAACAGAGCAGCCAGAATATCAGCACCAGTTGAAAAGAAAAGGGGACAAAAAATGAAAGAGAAAGAAAAAAAGACCTTAGCATTTGCATAGGCCATCAATAATTAATGAATGAAAAGTTAAAGCAGTGTTATGCTTCCCCATCCAGGGGAGACATCTGGGCTTCCATCCTGGAGATCAGCAGGTCTCTGGGAGATTTCCCTGGGATAAGGACAGTGTGGATAAGGATGCCACTCTGCCTGAAGGCCATGCCAAGCCACCTGGACAAGTCCTGACCACAGTAATGGTCAGGAGTGTGCAGGATGCGCTCCAGGAGATGCTGAGGGAGCTGGGTTCAGCCACTCCAGACAAAAGAAGGTTTTAGGTGGAGATCTGGCTGAGCTGCTGCACTGGGGGGCAAAGACAGAGCCAGGCTCCCCTCAGAGGTGGTGGGATCAACATCCAACAAGGGGAATTCCCACTGGAAACAAATAAAAAGTGTTTCCTCTGATTCCAGTGCAGCCCTGGACCAGGGATCCAGAAAAGCTCTGCAGCTACACCTTGGAGATACCTGAAACTACCCAGAACAAGACCCAGGGCAACTTGATACTGGCCCAGTGCTGAGCAAAGGACTGAATTAGACACCTTCAACATCATTAAATCCTCACTCCTATGATCCTTTGGAAAACAGATCCCATCTGTGTGAGGCTTCCAGCTTTAGGAGATGGATTTTTTGGTTGGACACCATTTGTCTTGGGTGAAATTCCTCTGAGGCTACGGTGACAAATGCCATCCCCTTTTCCACGACATGCAGAGGGCAGAGCTTTACATTTTCTCCTGGAGAGAAACAAGCAGATTAGAGGTTCTGAAGAGCCCCAGAAGCAGCAGCTCTCATCAGGCCTCAGAGCAGCTGCTCATACACCCCTCAAACAGCCAGACTTGGCTGGGCACAGTTTTAAAGACACTTAATTGAGAAACACTGGCTGCCATCCAGGATATTAAAAAGATAATGAAAGAAGAAGTAAAACTGCTTTTCTCCCCTGCTGGTTTTGATTTGTTTACGATCAGGGGGAGAAAGCAGTCCCTGTTGTTTCATTTAGGATGTGCTCTGGAGGTCGGCACACCCCACACCCTGGCAGAGCTCATAAATCAGACATGACCTAAGTTTTCATCACCCAAATTTTACTCTGACTGCTCAGAGCTTTTCATTACATCTTTCCCATCATCAGAAGGGTAAGAAGCTGAAAGGGCACCAAGGTCAGGTGATGTGTTTCCAAGGGAAAATCCCACCCTGATATCCCAGTGTTTGAGTCCCACCAAGGTGGGTGCCAGGAGAGGGGAGAAGAGTCCGTGGAGCACAGCAGGAGCTGGTTGTGACTCCCCTCTCCAGGACACTCCACATGGGTGACATCAAGCTCACATTTCCAGCCCCAGCAGGGCCTGGGAGCCATTTGAGGGCACAAACATCATTTACC